TTAGAAATTCATTGAATCTCTGTGACAAGCTTTCCAACTTTAAAACGACAGAATCTCTTCAATTGTTGCAATTTTGCAATGATCTATTATCAAATGGATCGATACCATTGGAGATTATTAAACAGATTGTCGAGACTAAATATGGTGAAGAATTATTTTCACCAATGTATATTTACAGAGTCTTTAAAATTCTTAACAGTATTAAAGAGATCGAGCCAAATGGTATCACATTATTTGAGCAATCTTTTATCATGAAGGGTCTAGAAATTGTTCCATTCGATTCACCCTCTAGGTTGGAACTTTATCGCTCTTTATTCTTGGAAGATCCCTTCCCTCTTATGGGAAATATCATTAAAAGTATGTTTGAAGAAGAAAACAAACATATGCCATTTGAATTCTTCACGTGGTTAGAACATCCTAGAAAAATGTTAGATTCACCATCATTTGGAATTATAAATTCGTGTCTTGAAGTTAAGGGTTGTCATTCTTCTATAGCAGCACTATTCTGTGATGTTATACAGAAAACATACTTTGCACGATATAATCTGAGGGAATTATCACCATATTTCCATTGCGCAATTGAAGCTTTAGATGATTATCATATTGAAGAATTACGTAAAATCACGGCGATAGCGTACCTCAAAGAATTGGTTCACAAATTTTGGAATACATTGATTCGGGATAACACCTTAAGACCGGTTTCATTGAACTTCAAAGGTCTTTATGCAGAATTTAAACAACTAATTATACAAGTTAATCGCGACATTAAATTACCTTATAGATTAATTGATTCATTAAAAATTTATTTTTTACGAGATTTACGCGATAGAGAATTTTCGATGGGTGATATTAAAAATTTTTGTCAGGCTCAAAAACCCACTCTACCATGGCTTCAAGCTTTGCCTTGGGATGATATTCACAAAACTCCATTACAATTCAATGTTTACTATTCTTTTGAAGATTATTGTGCCATTGAAGATTGCTTCATATTTCTTCATAGGTATAATAATCAAGAAAGGTTTGATCATCTCTTTAACACAATAAAGAAGAAAGGATTAGTAAGTCCAAAAATTGCACTTATGGGAGGTATCCTTAACCGACTTCATGTTATAAGAACGACAAGAGAATGGAATCACGCAGAGAATCAAACAGCGAACTTTTTGAATGAAAAAATCGGGAATATAAGCCTTTTATCGAGTATTTACAAGAGGACTGTTTACAATATAATCACAAACCAAAATTCTGTTTTGCGACTTGATCCGAATGTTCGTAACTCGGATTTATTAATTAAATCGGTCATTGGGCACGTTATAGCATTGCATTCGTCTATTCCTGCGGAGGCGTCACCATTAGCGAATTTGTTACAAAATTTGGGTCGTTGTAGTGGCCTTTTTATTCCCACTTGTGCATCAGATGTAGAATATATGGTATTTAATGCTATTTTACGGGAGAGCGGTAACTTTACGCGGTAAGAATTGTTTAAAATCTTCATATTAAAAAAAAAGAGAAATGTTTAACCAAATTTTTAATTGTTCCTTTAATAGATATAAATGTAAATGCGGTTATATTTATCTTATTGGTAATTGTGGATTAGCCAACGGGCGAGGCAAATGCCCTGAATGTAAAAATTCTATCGGTGGTGTAAATCATAGGTCTGACGCGGGAAATATGAAATTAGATAGAACACCAGTTCACTCAGCTATCAATGGAAAAGAAGAAAAAGGATATATAGGGGAAGGATACAATAGGGACATCAATCACAATCATCGCAATTTGCCTCCTACTTCATATAGGATTCTTCATTTGTTTGTACATTCGATTATTGGAGCTTGGGCACCTTCTGACACTGCAAATACATTTATACGAAAAAACAATAGACTTGAAATTGCAAATGATAGTTTGGTATATTGTATGGAACATATAAGGAATGATTGGGGAATTCTTTTAAACCTTTTGAATTGCTCTGAGGAAAATTTAGCCCTATTACTACATGCAATCCTTGATAGAATGTTTCGAATTCCACCAAGAAATTCAACCTTGAAGACACCTCACGAGCGTAAAGAATGGGAAATACATTTCACACAGGGCTATGTATCACCTTTAATTAAAAATATCACGAAAACAGCTACCGAATTTCTCGCCAACCTTCAAGGTAATTCGAGCAGTATCGAGAAAGAAATTGATCAAACAAGATCAATGGATGAGAGATACATGCATGAACATTTACCAAGGCTTTGGAGATCTATAGGTACAATGAGTTTTCAGGGTTTTCGTGCTTATTACAATTCGGATTTAGAGAAGCATGAAGCGAGTTTCCCTTTTATTTCAGTATTCCTCAAATATTTTGACAAACTAGAAAAGGTAAAATACCTTTGGCCGATAGTGAATTTTGTTCGAATAATATCATCGCGTCTTGAATATCGCGTGAGTCGAGAAAAGGCACGAGAACAAACATTTCGGCAATTTATAGACGAAGAGTCTAATGGTGGAAAATCCGAAGAAAGGTTGAAATTCTTAACGTCAAATTTCAATGACTTTGCCGATGCATGGAATTCAGTTATAAATGATGTAGATCATTTCCAATGTCACGAGCTTCAAGAACCAAAACCGGATATAAATTTGACGTCTCCCATTGCACTTGCTTTAGTCGAGCCAAAGGATTCGGGCGTATATCTTTGCGCCATTTTGGAATATTTAATTGGATTACAAAATAATTTCTTACAAGAAGTATTAACGATTCCTATAGGATCTACTAAAGCACTTAAATTCATGGAAGAGCCTTATTTTATTCAGGAAAACACCGTTTCTTCGTCATCTTCAAGAGCATCTAATGCTAATTCAGTAGAAGGTACTACTCGTTACTACCTCCAATCCTTTAGAATTGATCAAACAAGACGAGACAATTTCATAGATTACAAATGGGATGATGATACTCTCCAAAATAGTTATCGTAACCTTGAAGTAGGATGTGGTCGGGATATAATTTATGACTTACAAAAAATCGAAATAGAGCTTGCGCGTAGGTTAGTTTTTGAAAAAGTTCATATAGGTACTTTGAATGATTCACAAGCATACATGGAGCCTTTTCCATATCACATGGAATTATTTCAAGGATATATGAGAATTCTTGGTGATATCAAATCATCAATCCATCAACAGAAAATTCCAACTGATAAGATACCACAGATTGTTGGCGTGGTACCAACGACCAGCACTTCATACAGGGAACATCATAATAATTATTCATTATCTTATGATGACGCATCTGAACTTCTATCTTCATTAGAAATTTTGCTTGGTTTCGTAAAACGTACTTCGGTTGGAAACGAAGAAACAACAATTCTTGATTATGTTAATCAATGGATGAGATTATCCGTATTATTAAAAAACAGATCGTTCAAAAATTTATTAAATACCGGATTATGTCTCAAACATTTAATAGATCTGTATGAATTGATCGAAGAACAAGTTGCAAATTCCGTGGTAAAATATATAGATGCCAAATTTAAAGTTGAACTCACAAAAGAAGTGCAGGATGAAATTGATTCGGCCGTTGAATTTGAACGTTCTTCAACGTGTAATGAACGTATACCAGCAGAAGTATTTGCTCTTGCATTAAAAAGATTTATGCTTAGATTTTTAAAGAATTTCGATAAGGATCAACTCCCATTAAGCTATTATATTAAAGATGAAGGGCTTAACTTGTGGCCGGCCGAAATTTCAGATGAATTGTTGGAAAAATTTCCGGAATCCTTACTAGTATGCCATATTTATGCGGCATATGTATATGTATCAAGGTAAATATAAATCTAAATGTTTTAAAATATATTGCATTTATTTTCAAAATTAATATTGAACTTTGCAACAGGAAATGAATACATTTGATTCGTCATCTAGAAGCTGGAATATTTTCAGAAGGAATGAATAACTTTTTATTTTAAATTAGTATTATAGATAAATATATATATTTTTTAATTATTTTTGTTAAAAGTTTTTGTTTAGTTATTAATTCGATGCTGGATAAATAAATATTGATGCTTTTCTCCAAAAAATATATTTCCACTTGAAGATTTACATTTTTTTTATGATCAATGATTCGCCTGCCTTTATTATAATGTATGCGGGGAATGTCGAAAAGAAAATATATAAGTACCTTAAAGATCGTCCAAAAGTCCGGAGTTAATTAAGTTTTTCAAAACCACAAGATATTTCAATATTTACCCAGTGTTAATAACAGTACAATATTTTTCTTGAACATAAAGAGTCTTCTGGATACAAATATTAACGAAAAAGTAACGATGACATTTGTAATTGATATGTGAAATTTTAAAGTTGCTAACGGATCCTTTAATAATCCACCGATACCTGTTGCTTGTGAATCAATGTAAGAGAGTTTCGTAATTCTTGACATTTGATTTTCTGACATTCACATCCTTCCCTTAGTCCACTTTAATCCGTCTGTAATTGGAGACATTAGCAGCTATTCCGAATGAGTCATTAACTTCTTGATCAGTATTTTATTTGTAAGTAGGATATATAACTTGAACGGATTTGGGATGTTAAATATAGTATAGGATTAGAGATGGAAGGTTTAAATTTTTATTCACTAATTATATATGTAAGTTGCTAACTTATGATTATTTTTATAGATTTTTTTTGATGAAAATTATTTTAATGGGATTTTGAAATTCATCAGCTAGAAGGATTCCAATAAACCAAGTTTTCTGGTTCCGCCGACAATTCCAAAGTTCCTTTGTTAATTGTAATATTAGTTATGATAATGATTTATAACCTGTATAAATATCTATTTAGCAATTATTAATATTTTTTTTTTTTTTTTTTTTTTTTCAAATGATAGATAACAAATACAATATCTTCCTGATGATTAACTTTTTAAAAAATTATATAAGTTAGGCAAAACTAATTAATTTTCGATAATCTTAATTGACCATTTATATTAATTGAGTATTTACAAAAAAATAAGTTTATTTCTATATGAATTAAAAAGAATTGATGGTTCCAAATTTAATAATACCCGACTTTTGAAATTTTTTAATTACAATACTACTGGCTCTTCTAATACTTTTACCGCAAATTCCAATAATAAACAACGAAAGTGTATTTTTCGGTGTACGGTTCTCCCATCTTCTAAAAACGGGAGCCAATGCTGTTTGAAAAAATATATGATCAAAACCTCCTACATAATCCATTTTTAGCTCGTGAAAATTTCTGGGTGAATCGTTAACGATAATTTCCAACAAGATGCTTTCATTCAAATAATTAGAACCGCATAAAAGATAAATGCTTTCTAATTTTTGACAGCCTTGTAAAATTACCTTCAATGTTGTAGATTCTACATCTAGAATGACAGTGCGTAATGACCTCAGATTTGAACAAAATTTTGCTACAGCCAAATTCAATGAATTGTCATTGGTATTATGAAGATCAAGTACTCTTAAATTCTTCCCACTATTCTCAAAAAATATAATTAAAGGTTTAGGAATCAAAACATTATAATAAAATTTTAAGATTTGCAAGTTTGGAAGGGTCATGTATTCCATATCTTCAAAGCCTTCGAAACGAAATGATAATAAAAGTTCTTGTAAATTGATGAGTTTAGAAATAAATGACAAAGGGATAAGATATCTTCCTTCCAAGCGTAATTTGATAACAGTATCATTTATGTTTGCTATTAGAGGAGGTACGTACATAACATCAGAACTTTCATGCAATATGTTCAAGCACTTTAAATTTTTTTGAACCGAAATCAGTTCTGCTAATCCATTTGATATTATATCTTCCAAAGTGATGCTTAATGATTCTATATTATGACAGATTCGTGACATCTGATAGAAAATTTCTGAATCAATGTTCGAACTACAATCAAATTCCGAAAGATTTTTCAAACAATCTTTCGCTCCAGGATAAGTGGTGATCGGTATATTTGGAATGAGAAATCTTCTAGAACAAAATTCTAGTTTTTTCAAAGTAACTTGACCCATGAGCATTTTAAATATCTCTTGTGTTACTACAAACTTTTTATTATCATCGTCAGGTTGTTGATCTTTAAGAAATTTGAGAACTCCACAAACAGTATCGTGCACCGAAAGATTTTTGATGAACTTTATATAATCAAAGAAGAGAGGTTTTGAAGTTGAGGTTGATATTATGATATCATTCTTGCGTAAAATTTCTTTAGATTCATCGGAAAAACAACCGATTAAAAGATTATAATTATGAATGTTTCTCCATAAAATTCGAATGGAAACCTCACACCAAAAATGATTAACTAATGAGCATGAACGTAAATCCTTTTCGACTTTCAAATTTTTCAAAATTTCGTTTAAACATTCATATGGGAGTTGGAAAGGCATTTTAAAATTTTTTTTTTTTAAGAGGAGATTTTTTTTTTTAAAAAAAAAGAGATCTTTTTTTTTCTATTTAAAAAAAGATCTATTAAAAAAAAACATACATTGTGGTGTTCTGATCCGTTCCGATCCGTTCCGATTGCAAAAATAAACAAAGAATTAATAAAAAAGAGCTTGTCTAATCCGACGTAATTGGTTAAAATATTTAAACGGTACATTTTTTGTATCGGAACATGTGATAGGAACCAATAAAATTGCCAAGATCAGATAATCTAACCGGAAACCTATTGTGCATTCCTCTAAAAATTTATTACAAGGCTTGTTCAATTCTAGATCGGATCGAAAAAAACAAATAGCCAATCAAAGGTACAATTGTTTGATTGAATCGGATTGATCTAGTCAAATATGGTTTGCAATATGAATTATAACCGACGAATATAATGTGCTATGGTTACAAATTCTTGTGAAAAAGAAGGTTCAAGTGTGAGGAAGGCAATATAATTTACAAACGGTTTAAATTAAACTCTCAATATTTAAAACCCCGCATATACAAAGTAGATGACAAAATAGACGTCAAAAGAAGTAGAGGTGGCTACAGCTAAGATATTTGGATTTGGTGCAAAATCCTTTTGTTGTTTTGGAGCAATCCAAAGTTTTAATTTCTTTTTTAATATTAACAAAAAAAATTTAATAATCAATAATACAATAATTAGTAATTTTTATTAATTATCAAAATTTTAATGATACTTTTACTGTGATTTATATTTAACTAAATTTTTTATTTAAAAAAAAACTATTTAATAATTAGATTATAAATAAATTTGTTAATTAATATTTTTTTTTTTAAAATTCTTAAAGTAATTCTTAAAGTAATAATCTATTAAATTAATATTTAAATTATATATATTTATAAATTTATATATAAAATGTTTTATCCTCCTTTTTACAAATAAAAACACATAAATACTTTTTTAAAAAAAATTATAAAATAAGATGGCTTATGTTTTATAATATTATGTAATAATATTTGAACTTTATTTTCATTAGTAAATTTTTTAATTAAAATAATTTACTATAACTTATTATTATTTTAACCTATTTAAAATTTTTTAAAATAAAATAGCTTATATAATTACAATATTAAAGTTTAATTATTATTAAATATTGATTTTTATTAAAAAATCTTTTTAATTTAAACTTTCTTCTTTATTTTCTTTTAAACTATAAAGCAGACAAATTTGCCTATAAATATAAAAAAGTATTAATTTTTTAATAAAATATAAAAAATATTAATTTTAATAATAAATTATTATAAAAATTTATAACTTAATATAAAAATTTAAATTTATTAAGAAATTTTATTAAAAAAATTAAGTTAATATTTATTATAATTATTTTTAAAAAATTTTCTTAAAATTTATATATTTGCAAATTAATTGAATTACTTTACTACTAATAAAAGTTATGAAATTTCTTAATAAATTATAAAAAATATAATAATTTCATGATAAATTTTATAATATTCTATTATAATTAATATTATTAAAGTAGATGTTAATAAGTTTGCCAAAAGTCAATGATAAAATATTTAATATAAAATTTTTAAAATTTACAAATTTTTAGCTTATAAATAACTTTAAATTATTTTATTATATAATTAAAAATAAAAGTTATCATAATATTATATATATTTATAAAATTAATTTAAACAAAATTTTAATTTTTTATAAAAGTAAATCAAAAGAGAATTAATAGTAAATAAGTAGGCAAATTTTCTGTGAAATCTTATAGTTTAAGGAATAATAAAAATATTATTAGAATATTTTTTATTTCTGAAAAAATATCAAATCAATATTTATAAAATTTATGTTTATTTTAGTAGTTTTAAAAAGATAATATAAACTATATTAAAAAATCAGCTTTTTTATGCAAAAAATTTATATTTTTAAAATAATACTTATAAAAATATCTATAGTTTATTATGTATGTAAAATTTTTAACTAGTTTTATATAAAAGTTTATAATAAAAAAATTATAACAGTTTTAAAACTTAATCCTAATAATTATACTAAAATAATTTACTTAAAAATCAAAAGTATTCAAATTTAAATTAAAAATTTTAATATATATTTTTAAAGAAAAATTTAACTTTTGAGTAATCTGTTATAAGCATATAAATATTTTTTTTAAAATACTTTTAATTTATTTTTTTATTAACTATATTTTATTTTATAATAAGATCAATATTATATTGATAAAAATAATGCTAATTTGAATTTTAATTAATGTTTTTAATTAAATTAAATATGATAATAATTATAAATATATTAATAAAATATTAATAGAAAATTTATAAGATTTATAATGTGATTATAATAAACTTATTAAATTATTCCTTAAAATATCTAGCAAAAAAACTTATTCAGAAATTTAAAAAAATTATTAATTTTTAATAAATATTAAATATTAATTTAATAATTTAATAATTATATAAAAAATAAAAAATATAGGTTAATATATAAAAAAATTGTTAGAAAAATTAAAATCTAAAAATTTTAATAAAATTTTGATTTTTATTTGCATTTTAATTTTAATATTATAAGATTAAATTTAATAAGATCTTAATTTTAATTAAAAAATTTCTAAAATTTGATTTTAAAAAATTTATTATAATAATTATTTAAAAATCTTTTAAAAATTCATATTAAAAAATTGATTTAATCTATAATTAAGACTGAATATAATAATGTTATTATAAAATAATTATAATAATAAAAAAGTATTTTGCTTAAAAAAGTTATAATTAAATTAGTTTTATTTACTGATTTTAATTAATAAATCTTTTTATTTTATTTTATAATAGATATTACATATATAAATTAGTATTACATTATAATAATATTTATATAAAATTAAGGTTTTTATCTAAACTTATTTTAGATTTGACAAAATGTCTAAACTTTAGTTTTATTAAAATTTCAGATTCTTTAATAAGATTTTAATATAATTTCACTAAATTTTACCTTTTTTTTATTTAGATATCTTGTAAAATCTTTAGATTTTATTAAGTAATCTCACATATAATTTATATATAATGATATATAATATTATATGATTTATGATATAGTATAAAAAATTTTTTTTTAATATAAAAATTATTACAAAATATTTTTCTCTTCTAATTTTTTTTAATACATATATATATATTATGAAAAATATAAATAATGTATTAAATATCAAAGAAAATCTTAATTATTTAAAAAAATTCTATGGTTTACTAACTAAGTTTATATTTTTTAAAAACAGCAAAGATAATTTTTTTAAATAAACTTTTTTTTAAGTTATAGTAAGAGATTTATATTTTTAAGAATTTTAAATAAAATTGAAATTAACTTTGTTTTTTAAAAAAATTATGTAATAGAAAAGGAAAATAGAATATGTAATGAAAAAAGTAAAATTAAACACAATGTATAATAAATATGAATACAAAATACAAACTCATTTTTTTAATTTTTTTAATATTAAAAAATATATATTTACTATATTTAAGAAAAAAATAAATATTAAATTATTCTTTATAATTAAAATAATTTATTTTTAATTTTTCATATCTTTGAAAAAAATCTTTGTTATATTAAAAAAAATTCAATATAAGTAAATTTACTATAAAAAAATTATTTATATATACTGAGTTAATAATATATTAGAAATGAAAACTATTTTAAGTTTAAAGTGAAATTATAAATAAATTAAAGAATTACCACTTGAATATCTTATTTAAGATTACTTATCTAAATTCATTTTAGATTTGGCAAAATGTTTAAACTATAGTTTTACTAAATTTTTATTAAGATTTTAATATAGTTTTACATTTATATAAACTTTGATATAGTTTTATCTTTTCCAAAATTTTGCAAATTTTTTAATAAGGTTTTAATATAATTTTGCTAAATTTTATTTTTTCTATTTAGATAACTTGCAAAACCTTTAAATTTTCATTCAACAATCTTAGATATGCTTAACATATATAATATATCTGACATATCTGATATGATAAATATAGTAAATATATGATATGTTAAACATATTTTATATAATAGATATATTAAACATATCTGTTATATTTATTTATGTAATAAATTTATATAAATACAAGACAATAAAATTATATAAATATAGTTTAAATCAACTTTTAGTTTAACTTTTAATTTTGCTTTTAGTTATAATTTAATAGTAGTTTCTTTCAAAGGCAATTGGCCTATCTTTCATATATTATTTATCTTTAATTTTCTTATTTTATCTATTTTATTTCTCATCTTATTTTATTTCTTTTTTTATCATTAAATAAACTTATTATTAAAACTCTAAAGTAACTGAGATATTATTTATTAAGTATTAAATATATTTTATTATAAATCATAAAATTGTTATAAAAGTTGAATTACTATATAAACTTTAAAAGAATTATCACTCAAACACCTTATTTAATAGCTATAATTTGATAAGATTGTATATTAACAATATTAAATTCAAGAATTGTATGCAAATTTGAAAATATAGAAGATTTATGTAATTCTACTGATCTTTTAAATATGAATAATAATCTTAATTCAATAAAATAATGAAGTTTAAAATATTTGAATTAATATTTATTCTTAATATTTTTTAACTGTTTTGCCTACAAAATTTGTAGTCAATTTTATTTTTAATTATAATTCTTTTTAATTATTTTAAATATTTTAAAATATATCAATATTATTAAAAAAAATTAATACTTTTATAATAAATTTTATGATGTTTCTAAGTAAAATTTAAAAAAAATGTAATTAAGTGATGATTTTTTAAAAATAGATAAATAAATAATAAATTATTATAAAAAAATAAAATTTTAAACTTATATATCTTGCTATCTATTAATCTTAAAAATATAAAAATATAATTATTTAATAGGTCTTAATGTAATGAATCTAATAAACTAAATTTTATATTTTTGTAATTATTTTTTT